CCGCCGCCGCCCCCGCCTCCGGGCGCGGCCGCCGGCTGGCACTTCTCCAGGTCCACGTCGTGGTCGATCAGCACCATCTCGCACATGCCCGTGTCGTCGCTGGTCACGTGCGACTGCCGGATGTGCGCCAGGATGATGGCGGGGTTGTCGAGGAAGGCCATGCTCTCGCCCGGGCCTCCTCCCTGGCTCACTCGCACGCTCGAGGGATCAGCTGCTGCTGCTGCGGCGGCGGCTGTGGGTTCGGTGGCGTCGGCGGCTCTTTCCTCCCCTCCCAGTTATTGTCTCCTCTCCTCGCTGTACCATGTGTGCTCGCCTGCACGGCCGGGAGAGAAAGGCAGGGGGGGAGCAGATGAGACACCCTGGCGGGAGCCCAGACGGCGAGGAGGGGGACTAGCAGGGTGCATGCTGGGAGCCCCCGAGTGAGCGGGACCGAACCCAGGCAGGGCAGCGCAGGGCAGGGGCTACCGGAAGACCACTGTTCCAGCTGCCAGGTTGAAATACGGAGTGAAGCATCATGGACCACACACACCCCCACCTCAAAGCACGGCTTTTAGCTTTGAGCGATATTAAAACACGCTATTGTTCAGTTGGGCTAAGTTCTGTGGCTTTACGTGTTGTGTTGGAAACCCAAGAGAAATGCATAAGTAAAGGCTCTACTCTGGAAATGTGCAAAACGAATAATGAAAGCAGAAGTATAACAACCGGATACCTGGCCACCACAACTCGGTTAGCTCTATAACAACCGATCTCTGCAAAGCCAGAAATGGGAAATTGAGGTTTCTCCGACATGTCCCCCTCGCCTCATTGTGCCTTAGTGTCCTTCACACCCCGGTGACAGCGATGGACAGCCCGTTCTGCCCGCTTAAGCTCCGGCCTGGATTTCCGACCCCCCCAGGACACGCGTTTCAAGCCCCAAGGCGACGAGTTTCATACAAGTTCCTACGATTGCAGAAGGACGACTTCCCAGGCGTTTGCGGTAATCCGTAGACGGGCTCTGCCCGTTTTGCCAGCTCCCCTCTGCCTTGATCCCTGCTCTCCGAAAAACCCTTCAGCACTGACAGCTCCCCTTTTCTCGAGCTACGGTTCGGGGGCTGGAAAGGGGGGCGGTCTCACATTTCTGGGGCCCCGTTAAATCCACCCAGCGTGTCGCTGTGCCACGGGAACCTGCTCCAACCACATGGAAGCCTGACAGGTTCTAAAGGGGCTGCAAACTCCCAAGTGGAAATTACTGCCGCCCCATCAATGTGTCATATAAATGTCGGCATGCTAATTGTGTGTTTATAACACTGTTAACGGTTTGCTAATTTACCTCCCACACTGTTATTGGACTTGAAATGAGTTAATGACTGCCGAGGGAGTTAACAACTTGTAACAGCAGAGGCAGGACTTTCCGTTTTCACTTCTGCGCGGAGTGCAGTTGCACAAGGCGGCTCTCCGGCGTCGGGGTCACAGGTGAGAACACCAAGAAAGAGGGGAGCAGACAGACCCCCCCCCCGCTGTCGCCCCCCACGGTTAAGCGCTGGGCGAAACAGCCCCTGCTCTTTCTGCATCGGGAACGCGAACTGCTTTAAGCAGGCCAAGGCGGCTCTGGAAGTCGTGAGGAAAGGAAATTCAGTGTGGACCAGCCGCCACACTACACTGCACAGTCCTAGCTCGGCCCCCAGACCTAAAGACCCTGCTGGCGATTCGCAACATCCCAGCCGTCTCCTCCACGGAAGGGACACAAACCCCTCAGAGCAAAGCAGCAAGGCTGGCCAGGAAGCCATATTGACAATAAAAAGAAAACATTTTTACAAACTCTGACGCGCAGCGACAGAAATAGAGAAAAGATGCTGAGGTCCTCAGGTTTCCTTAACAGCAAACGCATATCCGTGGATATGTGTGGATAGTGTAGGTCCTGCACGGTCTGCCATGTGATTTGGCGCCGCTGCGCTCCGACACAGGGAGACAGAAGCCCAGGAACCGGAAGGAATCCAGGCGGTGTCACCTCTCCTCCTTCTCCTCATGCGTTATTCCTGCGTCATGGCAGAAGACCACGCGCAGCAGCAGCAGCAAATCAATCGATAAGTACATAAACACACGGGCTGTAACTCAGTTAGGAACAGGGAGAGGCTGCCACTCACTACCTCCTCGTCAGCAGCAGCAGAAGAGCACGCAGGGGGGACACCGAGAGCGAGGTGGGCCGCTGGACACCGCGCAGCCTGCCGTTTACCCCGCGCACGCACGCACGCACACCTGAAGAAAGGAGCAGAAGGCAGGTCCCAGACCGGAGGAGCTGTGAGGCCCATCTGGCCCGCTGGGTGGCCAAAAGCTAACGGATGGCGGGACCTCGTCCGGCAAGGGGTATCAGCTTGTTCCCCGCCACTGCCATCACCCCACGAGTCTGGGCCCTCCCTTTCAAACCCACTTCCACACAGGGAGCCCACTGGTAACAGGAAGTCACCTGGGGGCGTGTTCTTGTTACCAGGGTAACCAAGCCCACGCCGGCGCTCCAACGGCTCTCATCTCCTCTAGGCCAGGCGACACGGTGACCTTTGGCCTCGGTGTGACCCCCCCC